CTGGCTGTGAGCAGTCTGGGCACACGGCTCAGAACCAGCAGGAGTTGCATTTCTTTAATCAAAGAGCTGTGGGTTGGCCACTCCTTTTATAAATAATATAACCAGGCGGGCTGCACTTAGTAATTTATAAAGATGTAATCGCAGACCGCAAAAAAATTAGATTGGGCCGCATGTTTGACATGACTGCTTTAAAGCATCACAGGCATGTATTTTCCAACTACCAGGTTTAAATGATAGATTGGCACTCACAGCATGCCAGACAGTGTGACATGCTCTTCCTTCCTTCCTTCCCCCCCCCAAAAAAAAGGTCCCACTGCAGTTTTTGCATAGTGAGTGGTCTTTTCTTAGGAGATACAGAAGCCTGGAATAACAGATGTGTCGAAGCTGTTAGGATAGTGGTGGGTTTGAACTATCCTTCATACTAGCCAACCATGTTGAGTCTCTCACTCTCCTGAGGACTAAGTTGAGAAAATATTCTCTAGCTTGGTTCTGAATGCCTTGATTGCTCTTCTGTTCTTGTGGACAAATAAATAACATAACAAGCTGATGAGTTAACAAAACAGTGTACCATTTCAGTCCTATTGTTGATTTTTATTAGAATGCTGAGGAGGAGGGATTCATAATTTGCAGAACTTTTTCATTTATATATAAACCCAAAATACATTCAGGAAACTGTCCGAAGTATGTACTGTCTTCCTACTACTCAATGAATACTACATATAGAGCAGCAAAACCAGATCATTCAAAGCCATCTAATTTCCATATTATGCAAAAAGAGAGTCTTCATTTTAGTGAGATTGAATATTGCTCTGTGTCACTCTGCAGTTTTGTGTTGAACCACACCTGTTGTACTTCTAAACAAGGTGACTCTATTAAGGAGCAATTTCTTTCCCTGTCTCAAAAATATTAAATTTACTGTTAATTTTTCCTTGCAGGAATTAGTCATGTGAAAGTGGGTTATGTTTCCATTTATCAAAAGGCAACTAAAATGCAAATAGGCCTTTGATTTTTATGCAATACAGGTGTTTTCCCTGCCATTTCTTATGGCATTGTGGTTAACTACAGTTTACGGGAATGCTGATCAGATAAAAATGTTTAAGATCTGCCGAATAAGGAAATTGTGTATGTAGTTAATTATAGTACCCAGGCAACAGACAATTGAGCTTTGTTTGGGAAAATCACACTAATTGTCTACCACTTCCTGAGGATGAGGACAGACAGAATTAGTTTCTCACTACAGCATCTCATAGTGATTAGTCTAGATAAAATATTCATCATGTTTCTCCCAATATCTAGGAACGTGTAAGGATGGCATTCTTATTCTCAACAATGGAGCATATGTAACTTAGGGTTGCTCTGCAACATTCCTGCATTTCTGATACTGACATATCCAGGGTAGAAAGGCACTGGGTGGTAGTTTGGTGCAGCAAACTAGATTGAAACTATAATTTTACTTCATTTGTGACTAAAATACTCATAGGAGAAGGATACTTTTGATTTATGGATATTTAGGGTTGACAAAGATAAGCCAATGTAAGCTAATTTTGCAGCTACTTTAAGTGATACCTATGAGCAGCCACGTGCATCTCAGTCTGTTTTCAAAATGTATTGAAATCAGTGGGAAGTCCTTTCGTGATTTTTTTCAGTAGGCATTGGATCAGGTCTTTACTGAGAGGGAAAATGTTGCCAAGGAAACCTGGATTGTCTAGTTCTTATTTTAAAAATATGCATTGGAACTTCAAACTCCTTTCTGTATGGCTCCTGATAATGCTCTGACTAGCATGTTCTGTATATGAAAGGAGAACTTGTAAGAGATGGGCAGATGGCATTTCAGTTTAAAAAAAATAGCATTAACTGTACTTTGTTTCCAAACCTGCCCCATAGTTGGAGCACACTAAGACCACCTAAAAGATTCTTCGATCTGTGTACAATTAACCATATCCTAAATTCTAGGGGAAGATAATTAATTATGAAATGCTGCTAGAAATATGGAGGCAACTGATGCTTTTTTTCCTTATGTATAATTTAACACCTGAAAGCATGTTAGACACATTGCAAAAGAGATAAAACATGATCCCTGTCGCTAGGGTTGATGGAGATTAACCATTTAACCCGATAAGCTAAAACTTATCCGTTAATGGTCTCAGTTACATTTACCCAGCTCCCAGGGAGGCAGCTTTTCTGCTGCAGGGCAACAAATCCACCTTGGTTCCTGGGAGTTGGGTGGTCCGGGGGTGGTGGCCCCAATCCCAGGGCGGCTTCATTGCGGGCTCTGCAGTATAAAGCTAAGATTTTCAGCAGCTATTTGGTTAGCTATTACATGATTTTTAACACAAGAAGTTAACCACCTGTCACAAAGAGTTAATTTTGGACATGTAACACAGGATTATATAGAATGTTGTTGGGTCTTGCTAAATAAGTGTGTGTGAGAGGCTGGACTTTCAAGTGTTTGTCATTAAACAAGATATATGGGGGGAAACTATGTATTTAATCCTTTCAAATTCAGTTTCAATCCCAAACTGCCTAGGTGTGTATTGTAAACCTGGATGCTTTATATTGCAGATTAAAAAACAACTCTGTAGTATACTTTCAGTGGAAACTATTATTCGGATAGTAATTTTTTCAGTCAGTCAAATTCAGGAAAACATCCGTGTTTAAAAAAAAAAATGCTTGTCAGACATGACACATACGAAAAAAATGAAAGAAACAGAAGCGTAAGTTGGCTTTTTTGTTCCAATGTAAGTCTATGCATGTGTGGTTAAATTTGCATCTGCTTCTTGCGGCAAAAATGTTCCACTTACTAGATTCTGTCCAAAACTGAAGAATTTGCAAGGTTTGGGTCTATAATACAACCAATTTTTAAAATAAAATATTCTGATATACAATACTTGGCGAGAAACTCTAAACTTGCTAAAATGTAAATTTAGTTTTTATTTTGCAGCTGTAGTGATGACTATGGTTAAGGTTGCAACAGTATTTCCAGTGTAAGCAGTAACTTCAAGTCTCTTACGTTTCCAAAACTTTCATCTGTTGGGGTTAAATCGCTCAAGTTTTCTCTTTGGCCCGGGTCAGATGATGGTGTTCTTCTCTCCCCCCCCTCCCCCCGCCCCTTTGGAGTTTTCTTGTTTTTGTGTTTTTAAGACTGAGTCAAAAATGATTCAGACATTTGGTACAAATAATGGGGAGGTGGGGGAAAACCTACCCTATTTTTTCTAAAACCAACTGTAAGTACTGTTCTAGCTGTTCTAAATTGATAGGATTTAGAAACTAGCAAGAAACAGCTCTACGCTGAGAAATTCTTTTTAGTCTCTTCATAGATTTTGAGGGCTCGTTTACGGGCACATCTCAGGCCACAGAATTTTATCCACCCTTTCTGGTTGAGTTCCTGAGGTCCTCAAATCTTGATATAAAGATTATAGTAGTACCAATAACTTAACTCAGTAGATACTCTGAAATATCTATAACAGCAGATCAAGTACAGAGAAGTCTGTTTGGATGAGGGATATTCAGTGAACACTGAAGCAGTGTAGTGTATTTATGGTTTTTTTTAATCAGATGATAGACTTTTTGTGTGTTCTGAACCAGTTACCAACATGGTGATAGGGCACATTGTGCCACTAAAGAATTTTTTTTAAGATAAACCATAAAAATATTGAGTCGCAACAAATTGTTGCTGTTAAAGATACAATGACTCCTCCCTTGCCCCCAAACATAGAAGTGTTAACCCCAGTGTTTTGGCCATGTTCGAGGCGAATTAAATTCCTCTCGCAATACTCTCCATGTCCTGTATTAAAGTATTTTATACTATTAGCGTTTGCTAAAAGTTTTTTGTCCCAAAGGTAACTATATTTTAGTGGCATGTGAAATGATTCATTTGTGTAATTTGGGATATCCAGTGAAACACTCCATAATTATAAGAGATTATTACTTAATTAGTACTCTGAATCACTGAACCAGGTTTCTAGCTAACAAGTCAGTCTGTCTTACATACATTCATTCATGAAACAGCGTTGTATTTCTAGTACTGTAAATAAAGTGTATATTCTCCAAATACAGAATATTTGACTGCTAGTATGATTACAGGGCTGATGATTACAATTTTTTATTTTTAGCACAGGAAGTTTTAGATAACCTGAAAGACCGTTGGTACCAAGCTGACAATCCACCAGCCGACCTATTACTGAATGAGGAAGAGTTTTTGTCTTTTCTTCATCCAGAACACAGTAGGGGGATGCTGAAGTTTATGGTCAAAGAAATCGTTCGTGATCTAGGTATGTCTATTTAAACTGTTTACTTGGGGCCTATCTACTCTCCAAAACCTACTCTCAGGGAACTGTGTTATTGCAAGGTCACTCAACCCAGTTGATTGTAGCATAAATAGACTCAGTGTGTGTTCTACTTATTTTGTGATTTAGTGGTATGAAGAACTGTCACAAGGTAACACTGGCCCTATAAGGGGAAAGATGCTAGTGCACCTGTAATTGGTGGGTTGACTCCCATTGGTCTTAAAAGAGCACTGGGCACTAAAGAGGGAGACAGAGCAGGAGAGAGGAGACTGGTGGAGTTTCCAGAAGGAAGCTGTAGGTGGCTCCAGGGAGAAGGCTGAAAGCAAGAGAGCAGCAGTGGGAGTTCTCTTCTGACTTCTAAACCTAAGAATCAAAGCTGAGGGCCAGATGGCTGAAGCAAGGGTGCAGCGGACTGATTTACACAATGATAACTCCACACCAGAAAGAAGGAGCCAGGAAAACAACCAAGATAAACAGAACAGGGGGTGTGATGGATGCTGCCAAGAGGAGGATAAATTCCCATTAGAGAAGCTGGAACAGGGTGCTGCTCAGCTGGGAAGAGTGGGGTTGCATTTTAGCTGAAGAGGTGGGGTGCCTGTCCTGGTTCAAAGACAGGAGAGGACTTATGAAGAACCTGAGTGTGGGAGAAGATGGGGGAAGACCTAGAACGTGGTATGTGCTATTTTGATGGCCGCAATTCTCAAACTGAGACCCTCTTTGAATGGACTTGCCAGAGCAAGCATAAATGTGCCAAGGCCCAGGAGTGGAACCCAGGCACCACTGCCCAGGGCCAAAGCCCTAGGACTTCAGCTTTGGCCCCTCCTTCCCCAAGTGATGGAGCTCAGGCTTTGCCCCTTCCACCTGGGGCAAAGCTCAGGCTTCAGTTGCCCCTCCTGGGGTCGTAAAGTAACTTTTTTTTTTTTTTTTTTGTCGGAAGAGGGTTGCAATGCAGTGAATTTTGAGAACCCCTGCACTAGAGGATCTGAAGCTGAAGAAATGGACCATGTTTGGGACAGCTGTTATGGATTATTTGATCTATGTTTTAATATTAAACCAGCACCAAAGAGAATATAGTGAGTCAAGACAGCTCATGTAGAGCTACAGGAGAACCAGAAAGAAGGAAACTGAGGCCTTTGCTGCTGTGTCCTGCCACAGGATGGTGCTCCAGGCTTGGTTGCCCTATGACAAGAGCACTGAATAAACTAATTACTTTGCCCTTTCCAGGTACCACTAGGCAGTTGTCCAGAATCAAAATTTTTGTACCTGTTAAAGTAGGAAATAGTCGCTATTTCTAAGAACTTAATGCCTCATCAGGTGCTCATGACCACAAAATCAGTGCTGCTTTTTTTAAACTTGTTAATAGTTCAACAAAACAACTTCCCAGCTTGTTGGAATGTAAAAAATGTTTTTAAGTGCAAAAGTTTTGTGTCGATTCTGGAATATATCTTGAAAGCTTGATGGATGTTCCTATTTATCTAGGACAGGCATGCCCAGAATTGATTATTCTCATTGCTTCTTTAGTTATCGCAAACAAATCAACTTTCAAAGTTATAAATAAACCATTCACAAACATTAAATACATAAAATAAAATTGTGATCTCTCATTGGACTGCTAATGGAGTCGGGTTCATACATTTATACTTTCCGCTGTAATTTATTTTAATAAGAATGATTGATGTATTTTTCTAATAGTGTTAGAACAATTCATTATTTTAAAAATAAATTCATAACTACACTTTGTCGGTAGTACAGCTTACAGAATATTACTGGTAATCCTTCTATAAGTTTTTTCTAATGACATTTTTGAAGTGTTATGTGCTATATCAAGAAAATATTGTTTCAAACATTGACAAGAAACACCTGCCACATATATAAGAATCCCTAAAGCAAAGGTGAGAACCTACAGCCCACAAGCTACAAGGATTGCTTTGATCCAGGCCATAAGGCTCAGGGCCCAGTCCCCTCACCTCCCGCAGTATGGTAAGCTGTGGCTGGAATGCTGGAGACAGCTCCCTGCAGAAGGAAAAGGAAACCCTGAGTTTCATGGGCCTGATCAAGATAAGCTGGGGCTCAACTGGTGGGCTCTGCCAGGCAGGGAGGAGGAAGTGGCTCTGCGCACAGCAGGGAAGTGCTCCGTGAAGGCACTGCCCACCATTTATCCCATTGGCCAGGAATCTCAGCCAATGGGAATGGTGGGAGAGGGGAGGCAGTGCCCTAATATTTGAGGTTTACAGGATCTTTCAAAAAAGCGCCCCATTTTGAAAGAACCGAATCTAGACTGCGGTTTCAATTTTGAAATAGCGCTTTTTCGAAAGAGTGCCATTATGTGATTACAAAAATGAAGCGTGGGATATTTAAATCCTGGCTTCATTTACATCCCTCTGCTGACAGAAGGCTGTAGTCTAGACGTAGCCACAAAGTGTGGAAGGAACCAGTTGTGTTCTGCATATAGCCAGACTCACTGACCAGCTGATGCAAAAAGCCCTCTACTCAGCATTCCATAGTGAGCTGTTAATCTGACAGTATATTGCATGTCTGGGTGTGGATTTTTTTTTTTTTAACTTTGGCTGGAAACATGAAATAACTAGCAAACCAAGATTTCTCAGTTGGATCTTTCTTAAAGCATTTTAGTTTTTTGGCCTAATATCCTCTTAGTATCCTTTTAAAAACTGATTCCTTTTAAAAACTGCAGTGTAAGCAGTATATGGTTCTTTTTTTTTTCTTTTTTTCTGCTGCTCTACTTCAGATAAGAGATGACATGGATCAACCCTAGGCATAAGCAATTTGACCAGAATGAACTACAGAACTCTTTGCACCTAGAGAGTTGGTGTTGTGCTTACAACCTGAAGCTGAACACCGAAACACAGGGCTTTTCTCACCTAATCAGCCATTTTCTTGGCTAATCATTTCCTATTTTAAGTGGAAAACATAACTTAGATGGGATAAAATTGGTATAAGGAACCAAGGAAATCAGTTTTCTAATATCCTCACTTACACGTGTGCTGAAACCACAGGGCTGTGTTACCAAGAGCTTTGAACTCTAGAAATTGTTCATGTCCTACCTCTCAGTGGACACTGGGACACTTATAAGTAAATAGACTCTTCACTTTAGGTTTTTTGTTGTTTTGTTTTTGTTTTTTTGTCTTGCATTACAGATCAAGATGGAGATAAGAAGCTTACCCTTTCAGAGTTCATTTCCTTGCCTGTTGGTACAGTAGAGAACCAGCAAGCTCAGGATATTGATGATGATTGGGTGAAAGATAGAAAAAAGGAATTTGAGGAAGTGATTGATGCCAACCACGATGGCATTGTCACCATGGAGGAGCTGGAGGTGGGTCACTCTGAAATCATTTTATTTATATACAACACTGTTCAAAATGTGACAGCACTTTCTAAACCCTGGCCTCGGATGAAGGGTGATGTCAATGACTCAACTCTCAAGCTTATGTTTTAGCCCCTAATATAGCCAAGAACAAATCTAGTAGATTAGGGAAAAAGTTTTTTCTTAATACCAAATAGTCTGGTAGCACTTTAAAGACTAACAAAACATGTAGATGGTATCATGAGCTTTCATGGTCATCTGAAGAAGTGGGCTGTGCTCACGAAAGCTCATGATACCATCTATGTTTTGTTAGTCTTTAAAGTGCTACCAAACTGTTTGTTTTTTAAGTTTATCCTGTACAGACTAACTCAGCTACCCTTCTGAAGCTCTTTATACCAGTTCTTCAGGGTTGGTTTGGAGGGGTTTTTTGGAGTGAGTTTGTTTTGTTTTTTGTTTCTTTTGCTTTTGTATATTGCCCTGTGTAGGAATTTTTAAATGTGTAGTGCACAAAACTAAATTGTTGGTAAGAGTAGCAGCATAACTTATTGGGAGAATGAATGAATCATATTTCCGATCTGAGAGTGAGTAACTGGCAACCCATGTATTCAAATTCATTTTAAAAAAGTAAGAACCGTGATTTATGCACATTGGATTTTTTCTTCCCAAAAAATAATTTAGTGGTAAGAGTTGCCAAGTAGACGTGCCATCGACTGCACAACATGCACCCATTTTTTGTTAAGAGTTTTTGATTCTGAAAAATTGGATTGTTAAAAACATTAGAGCTAGAAATGAATCCATTTAGGCCAGCTGTGGCCAACCAGCGGCTCATGAGCCGCATGCGATTCTTGGTCCTGCCCCCCCCATGTCCCCCTCCAAAAAAAAAAAAAAAAAAAAACCAACCTGTGGCTCTCAAAGCTGCTCCTACAGCCCCCGACCTCCGGCTCCCCTGTGCTCACCTGGTCGGCGATCAAAATGATGCACAAGATGGTAGCTGTCGATGGGTGCCTGATATGGCCAAAAAGACTAAGCTTGCTTGCTCCTTAAAGGGGCAGCCTCCTTTTTTGTTGTTGTTGCTTAACAATTCTGGGGGGGGATGGGGGGGACGATGCTTGATGATTCTGGTGCAGCTCTTCGCATTTTTTCCACCGCTGTTTCGGCTCTCTTAGTTAAATGGATTGGCCACTCCTGATTTAGGCATACTGTACTCTGTCTGTGAAGGAGTCATGGAGTTAGTCTTTTCTCATTGATTCTCCAATCTAAGGGAGGATACTTATGTGTGAGGGGGAGGGGAGTAAAATGATTAAGCTATAAGAGGACAGAATTCCAGAAAGGAAATGCATAGAGTTCTCCGTTTCAAAATCTAAATTTGCAATAGTGGGGAGAGAAGGGGGTGGAATGAGAAATTATGTTGAGTTAATGTGTTGTGAGGTAAGTAAAAGTAATATAGAGATAATAAAATCTCCTATGGAGGGGAACATGGTTTCTGTTCAGCAGTGCAACGCAGCATTTCCTAAGTGTTTACTTCATAGTAGTGCCTGAATTAGAATGTGTCCTGGATGGTGGGATTAATGCTTCTAATTCTTTTTCAAGTACCGTCTCTGAGATCTCCACAACAATCTTTTTTTTTTTTTTTCCCAGCAGTGTCAGAGAGTATTCACCTGCTCTCTAGATACCCTTATGCTCCAGGGCGAGAGTGCAGATTTCAATTATGTTGTTCTACAATCCCTACTGAATCCTTCTCTTCAGCACCCTCTTCCATACTGCTTAGGAATCTCCTGACATGGAACGTCCATAGGGACATTACTCGAAGGAGAGGTTGCTTACTTTACGCAGTAGCATCTTTGTGATGTGTCCCCTGATGGGTGCTTCGTATCTCATCCTCTTTCCATTCTGTCTTGATGTCTTTCACTGGACTTTTGAGAAGAAACCTGGCAGACAAGAAGCAGAGCACAAACCCCTCATTGGTTGAGAGGTCTATGCTTAGCCTTTTTTAAAACTATCAAGTGTAAACAACTCAGGCATGCTAACAGAATTAACTGGAATCACAGGAAATTCCCTTAGTTATTTTGATCTATCTTACCATGCCCTGGAAAGCTTGCCTTGTGATAGATGGTCTCTTGCACTACACATCACAACAATATTAAGATTATTTCCAGTCTTAAAGCCACAGCAGGCACTTACCTCAGGTCAACTGCCCCTGAGGTTTCACATCAAAGATGATGCTTGTAACCAATCCCAATCATAAGCTATTTGAAGATTTATTGTACAGGAAAAGGATAGGAAAAAGAAGTAAGTTATTTACAGTGTTAACAGGCAAACATATATACACACAGATGGAATGCAGCTTGTCTCTTCAAAAAGTAATAGAAGCATATATGAAAAGCAAACTCTGTATGTCCTTAAGGCTAATCTTGGCTAAGTAATTGGGAATCTTTTGTTTATCTTGGTAATGCTTGCCCTTCAGTGTCTGAACAAAAAAAAAAATTATATACAGTGGAAGGAATTCAATAACTTGCATGCCTTTTCTTTATAAGGGAACCCTAGCAGTGGGGTGGGAAAAGCAATCACCGAAGACCTTTGCCCTGTGAGGTTGTATTTGATCTTCTGATGTTGATGAGCCTTTTCTTTTGCATAGGACCTAACACTTGCTGTTGGAAGCTAGCATTTTGCATTAATTCAGATCTCTTTCCTGTCTGATTTATACAGGTACAGAGGCTCACAATACAAACACTTACATATCACCTTATAACATGGAGTACAGATGTTATATGGGAGGTTAATACCTGCAGAAGTTTACAAGTGTTCAATAAAGTCTAAACACTAAGCACAATTTGCTTCTTAACAATACATTTACACGGGTGAGCCAGACTGATTCCACTTATGTACTTGTCAGTATCCAAGTGGGGCATGGAGGCTTTGGCGTAAATTATCTTGCTAGTGTCACAGTATTGCATGTACGTTTTTTGACTGTAGGTTTGGAGAAGGCTGTTTAGCTCAAAATCCTTCAGAAATCCTTGTTTTCTGATATATTTGTAACTCTCAAATTTTAAATATTCTGATTTGTTCATTTCACCTGTCTCAAGTCCTAAATGCATATAAAGCAATGTCTCCTAAAAGTGCCCCATAATGCCCACACCCATACAATTTTCAAGGAAACAGACCTCATGCAACTTTAATCTTTTTGAATAAGTTAAAAAAAAAAAAGTGTTGCGGAAACTTCTGTAATTTGTTTCCGTTTTTTTTAAGTGCCAAAGATGTTGTGGTGTTGATTCTTGTGTGAAACTAAGTCATCACAGAAAACCTTAGCAATCTTATCGAACAGGTGATCACATTTAGTTGATGTGTTTTTTTGTTTCTGGTTTAGTCATTGTGAGATGGTTTAATGTGAATCTTTCTAGTTTCCATTAAAAAAAAATCTGCTAGACTGACAGTAAGTCATAGAAACCATTGGCACCTTGAAATCATTATGGCAGAACTTTTTGCTCTTTTATCTGACTTGAAGAGCTTTACGTATATCATGAATGGAATCCTTTTTTTTTCTCTCTGTAGTATATTTTGAGTTCAGAATGCCCTTGTATTTTTACTTTCCACATGTGTAGTGTCTGAAAAGTCTATTCAACTGAAAAAAATCAGGTTTTGTCTTTTAAAAGACAAAACTAATCTTCCTTTATCATGAAAATCTACATTGTTGGAGTCTAAAAGAGGAGGTCATGGTTTTGTCCTCTGTCTGAGTTTTGCGACTGTTTTGTCATGGCAGAGATGCCTTTAAAACAGTATCACCAGAATACATAGTGTGTGTATCTGTCTGACTCATGCATATGTTCATAGAATTTATTAGTGTGTGGTAAGTGAAGTAACTTTAAAAATGGATACATGGCTTCCATCAGAGACTTATTGATCACATTTGTTCAGGTTCAAAGATACTGTTTTACCACCATTGCAGGCTCAATCTTCTTTCTAAAAATCTAGCTGTGTTCTTAATGTTTCCTGCAGTTCATGATAGGGTTGTTAACAGCTAGTTGGCTCACCGTTTAAACGATAAGTGATTATCAGTTAACAATCCTGGCTAACCACAACAAACCCCCCTCCCTGCTTGTGCTCTGCATTTAAAATTCAGACCAGCAGTCCCACCAGTCTGAGTTTTCAGTGAAGAGCATGTAGGGGAGCTGCCAACTCCTCCATGCTGCTACTTCTGTATGAGGGAGCCATTCTGTGCTGCTGCCTCTGTATCAGAGGCAGCAGTGCAGGGCAGCAGCAGCCCCTGTCTGTGGGGAGCCTGAGTTCCCCACGGTCAGAGACTGCTCTATTGGACGCCAGGGCAGCCCTTGTCCACGTCAGGTAGCCTCTGTCTGTGGGGAGCTCGGGTTCCTCGCGGACAGGGGCTGCTGCCGCCTATGCCTCTTTTTAAACCAGCTCCCTCACAGACCAGCTTCCGCCTGCTGCTTCCTCTGATACAGAGGCAGCAGCACGGGGTGGCAGGGAACTTCTTAAAAGTGGAGCTGGGAGCACACTGGCTGCTGGCCCTGCCCCTGGGGGGGCATCAAGTAACTGTGTAACCGCTAAGAAATGTAGCAATCACACAATTATTAAAATAACCACTTCCTAACATCCCTAGTTCATGAACAGCTATGTAGCAGGCATCTGCATCTCCTGGCAATTTAGTAAATAAAGTGGAATTTCTCATCAATGATTTGAGGTTTCTTGTAAAAGTATTATTCAAAAAGATTGAAGGTTAGATTATCAAAGGGATCCTAGCTCAGCCTCTCAACTTGCAGGTATAATTTTCCTCTGAAAAAGAAATGAGGAGGAAACAAAAGAGATTTCCAAAGTTGTCTCGGGGGGGCCAAAGCAACCGCTACTTTTATTTCATATGGGATCTTTCCTTGCCTGATTCTAGATCTAATCTGATGTCTGGAAACTTCTGTCACTAACCGCTGGGAGGCCAATTTACATATCAAACAAATCACTGAAATACTATAGATTGTACCTCCCTTATCCGGGACTCTCTGGTGTGGCAACATCAATGCTCTGGCATGACCATGGATATTCCTGGACCACAGAGCCCAAGAACAGGGAGGTCTGGCAGCAGAGCAGTAGCACAGTAGTGGGGACTCAGTTGGAAGCTCAGTGTTGGAGGGAAGAGGGACGTTGCATGGTGCGGAGTTCTAACCCCAGCACCAGGGAGCTTTGGCAATGGCGCTTCGGTTGCAGCCAGGGAGCTGCAACCTCATCAACAACTGTGGAGCTCTGGCTCCAGCCCCAGCTGGGGCCATGGAGTTCCAGCTGTGGAGCCAAGCAACCGCAGAGCTCCTGGCCCTGGCCGTGGAGCTAAGTGGCTGCAGAGCTCTGGCCCTGTCAGCAGATAGCAGGCCCCAGAGGGATGGAGCCCTAGTCTAAGGGCAGCATGGGCCAGGAGAAGAAGAACGTCCCCTGGTTCGGCAAATCCTCTCCTTCGGAACCGTCAGGTCCCATGGGTGCCAGACAAGGAGGTCCAACCTGTAGTTGCAGTGAGCTACCAGCTAACATCAGAGAAGTTTTGGACTTTTGGTTAGAACCAAGGAGATGGTGGGTGGAGGAATCTTTGAGAGGAAAGTTATTGACGATGCAGACTGACTTTTTTCCCCTCTTTTTGTGCTTTCTACCATTTATTTTAGTTTTTGGGTTAAATACTCATGGTCTCAGTATTTTCTCACAGTCAGGGCTGAGGGCTCCAAATTTTGGCTTGGAGACGTGTGCTATACTGTGCTATAATGTATCCAATGACAGAAGTTGATGATCTTTCTTATCTGTTGTAGGAATACATGGATCCTATGAATGAGTACAATGCTCTAAATGAAGCCAAGCAGATGATAGCTGTGGCAGATGAAAATCAAAACCATCACTTGGAGCTGGAGGAGATCCTTAAATACAGCGAATATTTCACTGGCAGCAAGCTTATGGACTATGCACGTAATGTTCACGAGGAGTTCTGATCATGCTCATCTCTTCAGAGCTCTGAAGCACCTTCTTGCTTTCCAAAAACAAAAAGAAAGTTACCTTGCTGCTATATGTGTTGTATATATGATGTGTTGTCCTAGACTTAAAAAAACCCGTCCATATAGAAGAACTGCAGTTCTCCTTTTGCCTTCAGCATACAGAGGGAAATGGCTGAAAGTAACGTATCTGCATCTGGACTAATTCAGTTCATACTATCTTGTGCAGTTATAGTAGCTGAAAGTTCAGCCTGGGCCTTGTGAAGACATCTTTAAATACCTATCTTCTGTTGCCTACAAAACTGCTAAGCTATGAAAATCATCATTAACATTGGAGGATCTTAGTTTTTTATAAGAGAGGAGGGTCATTTCAGATGTTTCCTTTCTGACAGCAAGGGATTAATTGGCCTAAATGCAGCCCTGGTTTTGCTCAGCACAGGATCCTTTATATTTAGGAGTATGATTATGTATTTTTCAGCTTCAAAACATTAGCTGTAAATTTAATCAGAGGTGCACTTTCTCAATGCAGGTGGGATGATTAGGTTGTATTTCTCAGTTGTCTTTCTTGTAAATTCACCTCACTCAATTCTATTTGTACTAGACTGGCCTCTAAGAGAGTGAAGAAAAAAAAACATGTAAATAACTCTGAATATTCAAATTTTCACTCTAAGTGAAAGGCTCTATTAAAAAAAGTTATTTAGCGTCTAGAGAACTATGTGCAACTGATAAGAGACAATATGAATATGGCTTCATGATTATCCATTTATCACTTCCTTTTTATTTTCCCCTTAGAATCTTTTCAGTCTAGTAGTTTTATGAAATCTGCCAACTTAGGAGGAAGCTTTTGTTCAAAATTTACAATCAGGAATAGCCAACCAAACTGTATGAATGGCTCCAAGTGATTTCTGTTACTCTTGGCTCTATTTAGTATATATTAAAAGACTTAAAGTGCACTAAACACTGCCCTACATGGCTTGTAACATCCAGTCAACCCTGGTGATTCTTTTTTTAATGCACATGTTACAAACAGAAATATTTACAAAGGTAGAAGAGACATTTTCTTAGAACAGTATTTACAGTGAATCCTTAAGAAGTTACAGGATTCCTCTGAAGCCCTGGATAGTCCTCTGTAGGCCTTTTTCTGCTTTCGCTGCTTCTCACATCTCCCTTCTCTGGTCTGGACACCAGGCTGTTTGTAATGTTTTGTGTGTGAAGAGATGTTGCTATTCGTAGATTTATTCAGGATCGTGTTTTCTTTTCTCTCTCCTTCCCCCCTCCCCCCAAGGTTTCAGTCTTCCTCTGTGTGGTTGATATCCAAGTGGCCTTGACAGACTTGTTTTCAGATTAAATGCTGGCTTCCTGGTACTTCTCGGTTCTACTGGCTGAGCTGCAACCTTGAATGGTGTAACAGCATTAGGCTGGTCTTTGATTTAGTCATCTCATGGTTTATTGTACTTCCCTTGGTGCTCTTTCTAATTGTGGGTTTGCCAGTTTTCTGGATATCAGGTGTACAGATCTCCAAGAATGGAGACTTTGTAGATGGAGTCTTGGTAAGGGAGCCCTTGTGTTTATTACCTCATGAACTAAGACAGCTGAAGACCTTATTGATATTCACCATTGCTTTTGGCTGGACAGAGTTGGCCTCCATTGCATTCCATTATACAAATGAGAAACCTGCTATATCTGAGTCTGATTTGGGCAGAGTAAATATTTTTCTTTTAGCACAGGCACTAAGGATGTGAATGAGTAGTCGAGCAGATTATTATAATATTCTCTACTACTCACATTCTCCCTCCCACCACCTCCTCCCCCACCCCCCGCCTTTGCTGCCTCTGTATCAGAGGGGAACAGTGGAAGCAGGAGCTGGTGCTGGGTGGAGCTGGCTTAAAAGTCAGTGCTACTCCAGCACCGGCTTTGTGGTGCCACCTCCCCCTCCTTCCCCCCACTCTCCCAGGCGCTGGTGCTTCTATCAGAAGCAGCAGCAGCCCCTGTTGGGGGGGGGGGCAGGGGGGGTCCAAACTCCCCATTAACAGGGACTACTGCTGGAGCACCCTCTGTCAGGGCTAGCCTGGGTCCGCGGACAGAGGCTGCTTTCCGGCAGCAGCCCCTGTCTAGTGGGGGGTCCGAGCTCCCCGCCGACAGGGCCTACTGCCAGAGCAGCCTCTAACCACGACATCTCAGACTGCTGCAGGCAGAGGTTGCTTCATGGCAGACTCCCCTGCCCCTTAGCACTCCCCACAGCAGCCTCTGTCTGCAGGGAGCTCAGGTCCCTGCAGACAGGGGCTGCTTCCATCCCACACTGCTGCCTCTGATACAAAGGCAACAGTGCGAGGCAGCAGGCAACCGGTCTGCGAGGGCAGCCAGTTTTTATACCATCTCCCCTAGTGGTTTGGCTCCCACCTGGCATCCTGGTAGTGGGGCCAGATTGCATTGGCTGCCAGCCCTGCCCCTGGGGACTATTCTGTTACCTGCTATCTAAAATCCCTAACAGGAATTCCAACGGCTGGAAAGAAGAGACAGCTGCCATGAGAAAGGAAGTTGGCAACCACATTGCTTAAAATGGCTATCCAATCCGAGCTGTACTTTTTTTCTGGTTCATCTTCCTTCATTTTTCACAATCTTGTTCAGTCTAGGTATTGGGTGTCTAGAGTTGGAGACTATTAAGTAACTTTGATTTTACAGCACTGCTTTCACAATCTGAAACATGACTCCTTTTTAAACAGGAGTGTATTTGAAAATTTTACAAGTGAAATCCTTTTTTCGATTTAAAGCAGAATGGAAACTGGTCTACGTTGTCATAAAAATCCTGCTTTTGCATTGTTCTGCAGCTGTGCAAGACCAAGATGCTTATTTCAATCACTTTCATTTCAAACCAGTCCATGTTACTAAATACAGAGAGAACAACTTAGCCTGTGAACTTTCAGGGGGTTGAAGTGAGCAAAAATGGATTAATCTTTTAGAATCATCAGTTGTGTTGCAACTAATTAGAATTGATTCTGTTTTCAATCTGGTTAAATTTGTTAAAACTATTTCAATTTGTAGAGTTGAATGGTTCCAGATCACACAAGCTTAGTCTCTTAATATAATGGAAATACAGGTATTGCTGTTTGTTTTTTATTCAAAATGTCCCCTTTTTGTTAAATGGCTTGTATCCATCTTTTTATATACTTTTTTTGCATTAAATATATTTTTTCTGTGCTTTGGAAATGCTCCAGCATTGAGATTCTTCATTAAGACAAGCAATCTAAAACCTCAGATTTAAAAAACGGAACCATGAAGTGAGCAGAAGTCAGATAGGAGTGGGAAGACTTGTGGTGGTCTACTCACTTTCTGTTAATAGCCAAAAGTAGCTGGTGGTTTCTGCTAAAATGAGGCTCTAGAAACTGATTTAGATCCCAACTATGTTATGACTTTAAACAAAACTAGAAACTGGTTGCAGCATGGTTGAGTTGTAGTGTAGCAGGGCCTGAAACAATAGCTGTGATGTGATTTTTATCTCACGTGATGTTAACCTGACTTCACTTATCTCTTTCACTTTGGACTAATTGGTCCATTTGCCATTATGAGGATTAGAAACCAAGACTAGAGCTGCACAATAAATATTGTAGTCACAGGTGTGTCTTGCCCTGCGTCATTCCCTGATCTGGCACTAACTCATTTCAAATTTGTGCAGTTGGTTTTTTACAGTTTCCTAGAAATTGGACTAAAAATTAGGTCCTATCCATTAAAAAAAAATTAATTGTAGCTAAGTCAGGATTCAATCAAATAAGTGTCTTCTGACTACATGTGCAACATACTCCTTAGTTATTTTTTAATGCTAAAATTCTGTACTAGAAGGTGCATTAATGCAGTATTGATACAAGATACTGCACATTTGCTCAATCCAATACCCTGAAAGCGAACAGTAGGTACTAGTAAACTTCTTTGGGCTGGTAGAGTGGAGAAAATTTAAAGGCTTATCTATACTACAATATGTTTGCGTTATAACCCGTGCCTGTAAAATACCTTATGTCTACAGACTAGGGATGTAGTTGACTAACAGATAAAGCCAGGCTTATCAGTCAGTCAAGTTCACTACTCGCATTCTCCCTCCCCCTCATCAGTCCCTGTCCGTGAGGGATCTGAACTCCCTATGGACAGAGGATGCTGGGGGAGGTGGGGAAGGCTGCTCCAAAGCAGCCTTTGTCCATGGCAGGCCCAAGCTCGCTGCAGGCAGGGGCTGCTCCATATCCCGCAGAGCAGCACCTGTCTGTAGGGGGGTCCCAGCAGAGAGCTGGGACCCCCTGTGTTCAGGGGCTACTGGACCCAGCATGAGCTGGGACTGAGCAAGTCCACCTCCACCCCAGCCTGCCTGGCTCTTACTACATTTAAACTGCAGAGCTGCAGCTGGGGGGGGGGGGGGGAAGGATTTAGCTCCTGGACCCAGCACGAGCTGGGACTGAGGCTTCCTCCCTTATCAACTAATCTTGTAGTCGTTAGAAATTCTATTGACTACACGATTAGCTAATTATTCACTTCCTAACATCCCTACTACAGACTGCTTCTTGCAATGCTAGTACTGGTATTACTTTCTCTACCTCTACAATGCTCTACCTTTGCAACATCAGTGGAAACAATAACTGATGGTGCAACTTCTTCACCCTTCACAATTTGCCCTCTGGGTGCAGTCTCGTGGTGTCCATGTTTAGAGCACCGCCTGGTCACTTGTGAAGTGTGCTTAATGATTTCCATAAAAGCCCAAAAACGTATGGCGCAGCACTCAGCTGTATTGTGTTCTGCCTAGTGTCCCTCATCTTCTCCTGCTTAGTCGCGACAGGTCTGAGTAATACATGAGATGGTTATTTAGCTGCTCTTGACTTAGGCTATGTCTAGACTACATCCCTCTTTCAAAAGAGGGATGTAAATTAGACATCGAAATAGCAAATGAAGCCGGGATTTGAATTTCTCGTGCTTCATTTGCATAATCGCATCACGGCGTTTTTTCAAAAAACGCTATTTCAAAGTGAAACCGCAGTCTAGACCTGGTTCTTTCGAAAAGAAAAGCCTTTTTTGAAAGATCCTGTACTCAAAAAAATGAGGATTACAGGATCTTTCAAAAAAGGCTTTTCTTTTCGAAAGAACCAGGTCTAGACCTCGGTTTCACTTTTGAAATAGCGTTTTTTGAAAAAATGCCATCATGCAATTATGCAAATGAAGCACGGGAAATTCAAATCCCGGCTTCATTTGCAATTTCGATATTTCTAATTTACATCCCTCTTTCGAAAGAGGGATGTAGTTTAGATGTACCTTTAATGTAGAACCCACAAAGATACAGTTGGATTTTTGCACTGTTTTGTCCCAGAAAAACTTTTTCTTATTCATTTCTGTGGGGATTCAGCTGAAGAATGCAAATGGAAAAACAATTGTTAATTGTACAGGCCACACCCACTTTCAAAGACCATACTTTGAGAGTTGCCATGACAGTTTGTGAACTGCCTCAGCGGTGTTTCCTATGCTCCTGAAATCTGACACATGGTAAATGTAACAAAGCTACCCCATGCCCTCAGATAAATCCACTCGCCTCCCACGGCAGGCCAGCTCCCATTTGTTGTCCTTTTCTCTGTCGTCTTCCCCGATTATAGAACTTAACACTTCTTTTTTGTGGGGGAGGGAAGGCACTTGCATTTGGGGGCAGGGACAATTAGACTACATGGAGTGATGCAAATGATTCCTCTCTACATTTTAGAAAGAAAGAAACCAAGTTCAGATGCTGTTTTGTTTCATCATCCTATGGCTCTTTAGTGTTCTACTTCCAATCTTTGCCTTTCTCAATTTCTGCTTTTGTCAGACCCCTATCCACAAGGCAGTTTTCATCTACCAGTCATCTACTAGGAAATCATTGATCCAGTTCTTCCATTTTGCACTTCTTACAGTAGTTGATTGTTCAACTTCATCCATGGTCACTTACCACTGTTCATAACACAAAAACAGTCTGTCTACTGCTATTAAGTGCTTGGTAGCCAAGCTATCACTGGCACTTGACAGGTGGGAGGGCTTGTATTTTAGGGAGAGGTGTGGGGATTTAATGAAATCTATTTGGTCTTTAGTAGACTAATTTTGAGTTATTCATTATGTGATATAACATGGGATGCGTGCATATAATTATAAATTCCTGAAACTGAAATATAAAGAATGTACATTAACAGTATTTACAAATGGAACTGTCTAAGAATGGTACTTCATCAGAATTCAGTTGTATTGAAGTATAATCTTAATATTTAATGATCAGTGTTTACATTGTTTTTGCTTTAAATGAATTTAGCACATTTCCAGCCCTGTGGTGTTTGTAAATTTCATCTATATCAAAATCCTTTGTTCTGATTACTTTCCAAATGAATAAACAGATGCTATTTGCTATGAAAGGGGAAGGAAGACAGTTTAATTTGATCAAGAGTTTGAAGAGAAGAAATGTCAGGATATAAAACTATATTTACCTGATTTTTTTTTAAAAGTAACTACCAAGACTTATTCCACTGTATTTCCTATATGCAAACCAGCGTGGTTTTTTTTTTTTTTTTTTTTTTTAATCGCGGGTAGAGCAAAAGATCATTTGGAGTGAAAAAAAATGTAAGTTCTGGTTTTCTCTTGAAAGGAACGGCTTTTCTAACGCTGTAATTTTCCAGTGATTTAGAGAGGACTGGGGACTGGAAAAAAAAGTCTTTACAAATTGAGAGAGATTGTGGGAGGGGGCGAGATCATAAAAGAAATACAGCAGTAGCATTGCTGTGCCGTTCTCAGCTATATAGAATTATAAGGGATGTCACTCATTTCAGGTCAAAATTTATTTCCCTCCAGTACAAACCCGGTGGTGGTTCCTTACAAGTGAACTGTAAAGTGACATCAGAAACGCTGAGTCTTTGAAGTCTGGTTCTAAAAAGACTTGACAAATCTAAATAAATAAAATAAAACACCTTGAATACACTGTTTTTTAGTTTGGACCTGGACTTGACCACTTTTAAGAGCCATTATCACTAAGGGAGCTAAGCAGCATCAGGGAATTCCAAAAGTTGTATGTCTAACTCCTGTTGATAGAACTTGAATGATGAATGTAGCTGTAACTTTGCTTCTGTCATCAGTCTCATTTTCCCTTTCCGTGCTACACTTAACTAGTACCAGAGCAGGAAGAAGAACAAGATGATGATGCCTTACTCACACTTCTCACTATTGCTGGCTTTTCCCTCCCACAGATGTACCTTCTTTCGGATCCCCCTTCTGTTATATGGGAGGACACCAAACCATACTAAGGGTCATCCATGTGGGCTCATTATCCCCTGTACTCCAAGGGAAACCATTCTGCAGGGTGCTTCGTTTCCCCTTGTGCACAGGAAGGCTTTTGAGAGAAGGGTCAGGATGGCTGGTTGGTGTATAGGCCAGACTCCCCTGGCAGCTGCCGTGGAGGTTATGGTGGCTCTAATGCTGTAGCCATTACAGCACAGCCCCACTTTTGCACTAGCCCCACAGAATTACTATGTACACGGTCTGTTTTACTTGCACTGTTCCCTGAGGTACAGATGATGTATCACACTCTTCACTCCTGAATACTAATACAGATACGTACAGACTAAGGGTATGTCTACACAGCAAAGTTATTTCAAAATAACAGCCCTTATTTCAAAATAACTTTCCTAGTGTCTACACAGCCAAACTGCTATTTCGAAATAAAATCAAAATAGCGGAGCGCTTATTTTGAATTTGTTAAACCTCATTCTACAAGGAATAGCGCCAAATTCGAAATAGCTGTTTTGAAAAAAGTGCTGTGTAGACACTTATTTTGAAATAGGGGTTCTCCAGCCTTCCCAGGGTGCCCTGGTGGCCACTCCAGCCTCAACCAAGCACACTCCTCTTCTTTCCCCTCCATCCCTGGAGCCCTTAAAGGGGTAGACTCTGGCCACAGTGCCTGCACCAGCTCCAAGCCTACCAGCCCAGAGCCAGCAGTCACTGCCACTGACCCAGTGGCCCCACAACAGGAGCCAGCAAGCCACCAGCAGCCAGCCCTCCACCACTTCCCAGGAGCAGTCTGCCAGCTCCCAGGAGCCTGCCAGGGGCCG